GCACAGACCTGAGCCCCCAACTAATTTTAGATGATAAACATTTGTATCAGGTCAACTAAACATGGGCATAGTAACAATATTTTAATACTACATTTATCCATTTTAAATACACTAACCTCACTCCTTTGTAACAACTAAGGCAAAAATGTAATTAATTCAGAAAATCTTTTCAGGACCCCACCTTGATGTTTCCGGACCCCACTTTGGGTCCCGACCCCAACTTTGGGAAACACTGCTCTAGAATCAATACTAAAATCAAAATATGGATACTTTGATGCTTCAGTTATTTTACATAATGTATATCATTAACAGGAAAATAGTGGAAAATAACTAAACTGTTCAAATCTTGTTTAAGTCTTGTGGTTGGAGGAACTACTTTTAATGCATGTGCACAGTGTCAGTCACTCAGTCTGTACATGTACGGCAGGTCATTTTAACATAAATAATCTGCTTTGTCTGTCTGTAATTACATTCTAGATGAGGGGTTCCAAAACTTTTTCTTGCCATGGCCCCAAACAGCATTAGCTCTGGATAAGGACCTTCTTGTAAACACACAAACAACGCTACAAAATATACAAAACAACAACTTCTAGAATACTTTTTCTCACTTTTGTTCACTATTCAAAAAATGTTTTTATTTATTTAGAATAAGAATTTAAAATTGTGCTAAACAAATATAAGGTTAGTGTTAGAAAGACTTTTAAATTAATAATAGTACTATGTCATTTTTTATTTATAAAGTGGTTATTTATAAAGTGGTTATTTGAAAAGTGCTACTCTTTAAGATTTAACAGACACATTATGTGTTTATCACAAAGTATCAGTATGGGATCAGTATCGCCGATACCAGATTTTACTCTGTATCAGTATCGTAAAGAAAATTGGCAGTATCAAACACCACTACTTTTCTCAAAGTGGCAGTGGGTGGTCTCTGCAGTACATGGGCGGAGTTTCATCGTGTGTAGGCGGAGTTTGTCCTAGCTGATCGGAGAAGTTTGAAATATAGGCGGAGCTTATTGGGTGTGGGCAGAGTTTGTACTTGTAAATAACAAGTTAAAAAGGGGCATGGACATTTCTCTTTTTTGTATCGAAAAAATATCGAACCGTGAGACTAAAGTATCGAACCGAACCATGAATTCGTTGCAGCCCTATCTAAGAGGTGATGCTTTCTACAGATCAGTGATCAGGTCTGAGTGGAAACATGTCGAGGTGTTTTCTGTTCAGCCCTCCCTGGAGGCTGATCATCATGAAAGTTTCATCGGTCTGTTTGAAACTAGCCTTCGTTTCTTTCCACACATGACGATGAGTCATCATCTTCGTGCTGCTTGTGAAAAAACTGCTCAGGTTTCTTCGTTCAGCCTCCAGGGAGGTGAGCAGCCAGTGTTTGGCAGCGCTGGGCCTGGCGTCAGACTGGAACGCTCGGTGTGTCTCTGGGCTGCTGACAATCAGGAATCCTGATTCTTATGACTTAGAACTGTGATCATGTTGTAGCTGGGACTGAAGCCAGCAGGATCTGGTTTACAGGAGCTGCCAGGTTGTTGTTTTTGGGACCAGAGTCGGGTTATGTGATCCGGTGTCACACGACTAATAGAACAATTAATATTTGAACAGCAGCAAGATGGACATGAATCAACGAGCCGACACCAGAACACCTGAGGTGGTTTGTGTTATTGTCTTTGTTTATGTTGGGGGAGTCCTGGGACCATCCATTGGAGACCAGCTTCAGGTGGGATTTATGTTGACACCCTTACTTGGTTCTCCACAGTGGTGGGCAGTGCTAATCCAAAAATTAGCTCCACAATTTCTAAAGCACTTATGCCATAAAAATACTATCAGAAGCTAATTTTAAAGAGCAAGTTCAGTTTGACACTTACTAGCTGACAATTCATGTACAATATATGTACAACACTGCCAACTAGTGATGTATGAACTCTTTTACAACTTAATCCTACAACCACTGATTGCTGGGGATGTGATTTCCTGAAACACACCTTTAGCTCCTGGTGTAAAAATTAAAAAGTTGTTGAGGATTGCTAGTTCGGCTGCTTCTTTGTCTTTTTCTTTTGTTTGTTGTAGATTTTTCATTAAAGAAGCATCAATAAAGTAATTTTAAAACTGTTTATTGGAAAACTGAAGCGATGCATTCTGGGTACATGACAGACTGATGGGAAACAAAAGCACAGGGAACAGGAAACTAGTATCTTCCCTTCAAAATAAGAGCTTGGATTTTAAAGTTTTCCAGTTCACCTGAAACTCAGACTGAAGAAGTCTGTTGGAGGAGAGACGAAACGTTTCACTAAAGAAGAACCAGAGGACCTACTGATTTTTTCTTCTTGATTTTTTCTACCTGGATTTTAAAGTTTTCCATGTAGTTGCTCCAGTTGACCACTAGATGTCAGTCTTCATCAGCATAACATCTTTAAACCATTTCTGAGTCTCTAACCCCATTGGCCGATTGCTTTTGAGCTCCAGCGTTTAAACTTTTTTTTAAAAAAGGAGCTCTGGTTGTAAAGTAAAATAAATCAGTACATACAAAATGTTAGTATGGTTTACAAACGTTTACGGTTTTTACTGTTGCCTTCCTGCTACGTAAGCAGACACAAAGCATTGTGGGAAATCAGAAGCGTGACCCAAAGCAACAGTCAGCAGGATGTATACCTTCACAATAAGAGTGTTTATCTGGGAGGGGTGCTGTTGGATAGATCACATGTGTTGTGATTCATTGACAGTCATACCTTCTGCTGTTCAACATAATGATGACTGCTAGATAATTAGTTATTAGTGGTTCTGCTTTTTAATTTTAGAAAGTGCAAATCTGCTTATGAATTATAAAAATTAGTAAAATCACTAAAGTGCAAATGAAATATTTAGATCCACAGTTAATGGATTTGTGGTTTAGTGGGCTGGTGCCACCACTGGTTCTCCAACATGTTCACGTCTGAGTACAAACCAAACACAACATGAATCTGAAACAAACTAACCGTAAGGACAGTGCTGCTGCCTGTTGTCTGGAGTCCACGGCTTTTTCCTCAGAAAGTCGTCAATAGTGGGACCGTTTCTACCGAGAGGATCATCTGGAGGCATGAACCTTAAAACCAGCAGAGAGGTGGTTGGGTCAGGAGTGCTGTAAGGACGAGGCAGACCCAAACACAACTAGAAGTCTTACTTGTCGTTGGCGAATGTGTACATGAGGAGCCTCTCCTCAATGAACTTCTTCCACTGAGAACTCTCCATCTGCAGGTCTCGGTAGTTGTCGTTAGACACGATGATACCGTCTGAATCCACTGCTAACTTGATGATGTAGCGGTCGTCGTAGCACACGACCCGTTTCCCGTTGACGAAGCGGGATGGTGTGTACACCAGGATCTTCCTTCTCTCCAGTTCATGAAGAATATGTTGGTCTACAGGAAGCAAGAGATCACTGATGGTCAGAACTGAGCTGAAGGTTTCCTTCAAGGATCTACGATCTAATCTGGGATTAGTGAGGAAAAAAACTGTGTAGATTTATGTTAAAGAGACGTAGCAACAGAACCAGCTAATCAAACACACCCACCACCAAAAGGTAAATACTATGGAGCCATATGTGTAAAATAAAATGTTACAAAATGTCACTGACACATTTTCATGATTTAGCTCATGTTCTAAATGTTAAATCCTAGTTTAAATCTTCCACTAATATTGCATTATTATTTAGCTCACTGGTCTTACACTTTGCTAATTTTTACTAGATGTTACATCTAAATCATGAAAAAATTGCTAACTTATTTAATGAATATTTTATTTCTTCAGTAAGGACATCATTACCGGGACAAGCTAATAGTTTAAAGTTATTTAAATATCCTGACACTTCAAAGCAATTTTCATTTTCTGAAATTTCACAGAGTGATGTTTTGAATACTGTGATGGACTTGCGACCTGTCCAGGGTGTACCCCGCCCCTCGCACTGTGACTGCTGGATATGGGCACCAGTG